CCATACAAAACTTTGAATTGCGCTCTATCTAAAAGACAATATTAAGAGCTAAAGCTTTCAGAGAATAGCTTTTTATCTATTTAGAACCATTTGAGCTCTTTGGTTCCGAAAAACTCAAAAATGTCCATATATAAACTCGTATATATATACAGGGCTGGTCCTACCTTGAATGCAATGCATGCAAAAATGCAGGCGCACGCCTTAGGGGGCGCCAAAACGAGGTTCGGAAATAAAATTTATAATATATTATTTATATATTTATTTAAATATAAAATCCAGAATACTTATTAGATTATAATAAACAATCCAACTTAACTATGGGACAAAAAAAGCATATTCAGTTTGCAATGTGATATCAATAGAAACAATTAACCAAGTAATAACTCTGCAAATTTGTAAATTAATGTTCTGCTTATTATTGTTTATTGTACTTATTATTTTTTTTTCTTCGTTTGAAGTTAACGTGGAATCGAAAAACAAATTATTTAGTGTTCTAATTCAACCGTACAAATAAGGAGAAGTTTACGATTCAATTTTGGATATTGTAAATAGTGAAAATTTAATTTAAATTAAAGCATGAAACACGAGTGTTATTTTTAAAAATCAAATACTAATTATTTTTGCTCTTTTGGCGTGATTTGTTCTATAGAATAAATCGCATAATAAATAAGTTAAATGTTTCAAAACCCAAATATTAATATTACACATACGTTAGAAATAGTAGAGAATTTAAAAATATTCGATTATAATCAACCCGCAAATCGCCTCGATTTTCTAAATTAATTTAAATCAATGTATATTATACGCTTTTAGATTTTATCTATTTTTTTGTGTACTAAATCCAGAATGACTAAAAATTAATCAAAAAAAATTAACGTTTGTTTATATAATTTCAACGAAAAACTGTTAAAACAGATAAAATTATTGGGGGGGGGCGCTAAAACAAATCTTGCATGCGGGCGCTGAGAACCCCAGGACCGGCCCTGTATATATATATATATATATATATATATATATATATATCTATAATAATTAGGTTTTTTTGTTCGACGTTGAGACATGTCTTGATATGATTTTTAGCCAGTCGTCGAAATAAAAGAAACAAATAAATACAAAATATTTATTTAAAATATACGTTTCAAATATGATTTTCAGAAATATCAATAAAACACTAACGTCCTGTTGTTCAGCCACAGGCATACAGCTCCCCATACCGAATAAGAATCCCATATAAGCCATAACTATAACGTTTGATCTTTACAATAATGTCGCTACCGAACGATAAACAACAAATCAATTCTCGAAGTGCCATCGTTCTTAGGAAAGGAGTTTTCGCCCTTGCGATCACGTAGCCAATAAATATCTACGAATGCGTACCGTATGGATCTTAACACATGTCTCCTAAGTGCCATACTATGTGTACAATCATATGGATATGGGCTCTCACTGATGTATTATATGACTTGCTATGAAATGTGGTTGCATCGTGATACGACATGAATAAAAGATGCCCTTTAGAAATATGTATAAGTACTTTTTGGTTGAAATTTGAACGAACCGAAATACTATCGGCAGCGCGCGTCGTGCCGAAATGTTCGGTGCCATAAGCTAGGAAGAGATTATTGTTTTCGATATTGCCAGAAAGCTTGACTTTGATAGATGTAAAGATAAATTTTAGATAATAAATCTATCAAATAATCAATTCACTATTTTATCAAAATTTTTAAGAGTAATTTTACAATTTTTTACATTAATACAAGATTAAAATTTAATTAAATTTTTAAAGTTTTTATTTTATCATTTTTAATTTTTTGTGGAGTAAGTTTTAGTAATCGGAAAAAATCGCATTTTTTACGTTTTAAAGTCATTTTGGCATACCTTTGAAATGTATGTGTGCGTGTGTGTGTATGTATGTGTGTGTGTGCGTATACAAATTTTAGTCGACAATTTCAGGAACACGGGTCAACCGATTTGAATAATTCAAAAAACATTCGATTCGTATTGATAAGGAGACATGTCAAGCCGTTTTTGAAAATACGGGGAAAAAAGTGCCAAAAGCGCTAAGTGATTTTTTGAGAGAACTGAACGTCCGATTTAAATAATTCAATAACATTTTACTTGTATTAACAATATGAAGAACTGATCAATTTTCATGAAGGCAGGTCTAGCGATTACAGAGATCTAGTAAAAAAAGTAAAAAAAAATGCCATTTGGCGGTCAAAAATTATCATTAGACATATGCGCATCAAATTATCAGATATTTTATAGAGATTTAACAATAAGTATAAGTTTTGTTTACATTCCTATGGGTTTCGTACCAATGTTTATCCAATGGACGACTAGGCGGCGCTTACGCGCTTCGAAATTTCGTCTCTATTCAGTTAAAGCAGTACGATTGCTTTCAAAAAAAGTTCAGAATTTCCAAAATATTTCAAATAAATTTCTCTTCAAAGTCTTTGTCAAAATGACAATTTTTGTCAAAAATTTATAGTTTCTCAAGCGTCTAATTTTTTCATAGTAAATTTTTTTCAAAAATGTTAATCTTTTTAAAAAAAAAATTTTTGGTACGGGAAGTTCCAGCAATTTACCTTAAGACACGATGTCATGCGCGTTTGAACCACGCAAAAGTTATTTATCATAAAACAATATAGATATGGCAAAATCATAGTGATAACATTGTGATGTTGTAATCAACAATATAAATTTGTGACAATCATAAAATTACGTCTTGCTCAAGTCTTGAAAGTTGCATCGATCCACGAAAGACAAATTACAGTAGATACAAATAGATTACAATAGACTAAATTATTATTTGAATTTCATCAAGTTTTTTGAGATAATTCAATTTATATTTATATATCAGTAACAGTCAACCACAGAAATGTATCAACAATGTTCATAGATCATGCATTTATGCCATCGAAAATCAAAGCTTAATCAATTTCCAGAGATTTGAGCAATGGATTACTTCGATAATCCACCGAACAGAAAATGTCTTAAAAAGAGGCCTGTGAATGATATGCATTAATCAGTATGGACAAAAGTTTTGAATTTATTACAATTAAACTATGGTTATTTCGAATTGGGTTGTATATATCTTGTAGTACTCCAAGATCATTAAATATAAAATAATTTTAATAATAATATCCACAACCTCGCCAAGCACAATGAATAAAATATCAGTCTATCGCATAATTTGGAGTTCTCAAATATGAACACACTGGTTTTAGTTATTTATTATCAAAAATATGTCGATAAACACATATTAGAAAGGTATTAACAATTTCTATAAGATTTTCGACATTGTTCTACTAACTGCCCATCTCTAGTCCACATGGTCATGATAAAAGTTACGGCGAGCCCTGAATTGGCGTTCCTGGGCATTAGCGTCACATACGGAGCCCGTACCAAATGTTTATTGCAAGTGATAAAAATAAAATTCTATATTATTTTGCTACAGTCATAAGTGCACATTGAGACTTGACATTTATCGTAACGTAGTACTAACTTATATAATAATTATAGAAATTGCTACTTTTCTGTGTGCAAAAGGACTTTTATTTCGTTCCATTGCCTGTATGGTAAAAATCTAACTAACTAAATGATTTTGTTATGTTCAGTCACATTTAGTTATGTTCTCACGATGGAAAAATGAACTATTGAAAACAAATATCGTAAATAACTTAAAAGGACTTATATTAGCTTAAAAAACTGACTTTGAATTTGGTTATGCACGAATCAAATTAATGCATCGAAGATTCAATATATCTAATCAAATTTTTTTTACGCAGAAACATCATATTCAAAATACTACACTGTTAATTTTATTATTATGTATTACTAATATAAAAAATCATTAACATAAAATGTATGACGAAAAAATTGTTTTCTATAGAAAGTGTTTGGAAAAAACGGTTGAATTAACTGTATTAATCGTCTTCAAATATTATGTTCCAAGAGGATCTGCATTTTGACACAAACAAGAATTGGCAATTATTTGGTTGCAAATTTCTGCTATAAGAGCGAGACCGCGGGTCCAAAGGACCAACTGAACCTTTACCCTGGCAAAAGTGCAAACAGTAAAAAATAGGAAATAAACAGTAAATTGAGTATTTAAACGTACCTATGCTAACTATGCTCATGATTATTTCTACTAGATCAAGGTTGTATACTATTTATATTTTACATTGATTGATATTTCTACATGATGAATTTTTTGGGAGTTTTACTAAACATATGGAGATATAGTTGTTTGTTTAATATGTGTATTATGTTGTGATATAATTCGTAGGTTTTCAAAGTCAAATTGGTCCTTTCTGCCCAGTCTTACCCTATTTTCAAAAAAAACTATATATGCATTTTACTTGTCCTTTTTGACAGGTGTAAAATTATTGTGTAATAATACTGTGTCATTTCAAGTAACATATCATTTGATACAAACGATTAAACAATATTCGATTTATATTGATCGTGTAACTATAAACCTGTTGATTTTTGAAGAAATTAGTTTTTTCAAAAATTTGGTGATTTCCAAAACAAGGAAATATATCAAAAATATTCAAATTTTTAACAATACGTTTCAGAAAACTAGACGTAATATTTATAATTTTTCAACAATTAAATATGGGCTTTAAAAATTGAAAAAAATCTAATTATTTTCTGAATCAAAATCGAATTAATTTATTTTAGAATAAAAAATTGAAAAAAAAATTCAATTTGTTTTTCAATATAATTTTTTAAAAACCTATTTTTTATATAATCCTCTTTTATTTTGAAGATAGAAAATATTAAATTGATTAAAAATTATATTCGAAAAATACATATGAATGTTCTATACAAAAACAGTCAGCTTGCATCTTAATAAACAAATGATTACCCGAGTGACAGTTCGACGATTTGGAATACTAAACAAAAAATATCATCAAAATTTCATATAATTTTAATTTGTTTTGCTGTAACTTTATATTTCCAATTTGAAATTAATGTAAAATTTTATCAAAATGATTAAACGCAAAGTGGTTTCTACAAAAAAAGCGCCTCAGCCCGATGGACCTTGTAGCCAAGCAATTGTTGTCCAGAATATGGTCTTTGTATCAAGTTGTTTTGGAATAGACGAAAATGACCAAATGCCGGAAACTCTTGTTGAACAGGCGGAATTAGCATTGCATAATATGCACTGCATTTTAAGAGCCGGTTGCTCCGGTTATTCACAGGTAAAATCTAAATATTGGTAATAATTTAGAAAGATTTCTATATTTTTTTGCCTTGAACTCAAGGTGTTATGCTTACAAAATTTATAGTAAAATTACAAGTTGTCATAAAATCAAAATAACTAATTATTAGTATTAGAAGATTTTTGTTCAATGTGGATAAGGTTGGGTGAATATTAGCGGAGTCAATAGAGGTATATAGGCAAAATAGGCAAAATCAGTATATCCTCAGAAACGGCTCCAAATTTGTATTTTTTATAAGTTTTTGTTTCTCTATATTATTCCAAATGAAAAACATTTCTGAAGCGGAAAATTAGTTTTATTGTTTATACAATACGTATTTTATTTATATTAAAAAAATGGACTTTCGAGTGGTTTTCTTTGACAAAAATTGTTCGTGTATTATTATTCGTGTTAATAACAGTTAATTTATGATGTTATTGATAATTCAATATTAACAATAAAAAAATCTATGTATGTTGAAAAAATATGTGAGCTTTGGATCCTTCTTTTAAATAAATGGGTTACAAAAGTTTGATTTCCACCAAAATTAAAATCAATCATATTACGTCTAGAATGATCTTTAATAAGTCGTATTTGAAGTATTGTAGCAGTTTGGTTGCTTTCGGATACTTTTATTAAAAAAAAACAAGATAAAAAGAAATAAATATTTTTTAAATTGTACAAAACCCACCTTCTTTTTATAAAAATTCTAAAATTATGAAACATAGGAATTAAGTATAATGACAAAAAATTGACTTTCCGCGAAAACCTTTATTGAATCGGCTATCCAGGTAAAAAATTTAAAGCGTTTCAAATTAAATTCAAAAACTTTTACATGTATTTAATTCATACCTTGATGATTATCAAATTTTGAGCAATTTTGGAAATTATAAAGTGTAACCATTTGTCACATAAGATACATTTTCGAATAAAAAAGAGCGGGGCTTAAAGCACCGCGGGTAAAAAGGTCCACCACCGATATCTCAAAAATGAGTAAAATTAAGAATTGTTTAACTATAATATTTGAAAGTAGAGGGAAAAAGAAAAATAACCAGTCATAAACTTGATTTTTACGAACTTGTCTTCGGGATATAAACGACAATCTTTGAAAACTTTTATCAAAAGTATTTTCTTTCGTTGTTAGTTTTTTTTGGTTGTGAGCACTGTTGATTAGTTTACAAGAATTTTCAAGTATACATTATTTAATTGTTGAATAAGATGTATTGCAAGTTATATTCAACCGCATTTTTATATAACCTTTATAACAACTTAAACGTTTGTGGGGTAAAAAGGAACAACTGAACCTTTATCCTGACAAAGATGTAAACAACAAAATATAGTAAATTGAAAGATAAATGAAGTGAAAGGATGCATTTTGCAAAAGATAAATCAAATAAATCGTAATTTAAAAATAACAATGATACATTTTATAGATCAATTAAAATAACTATATCTCTGTATTATATTAAGGTCTAACGAACTAAAACAACAGTGCTGACAGCGAAAAAAACTAAGAACGAAAGAAAATACTTTTGTTACAGATTTTCAAATATTCAATTTCAAATTATATCCCGAAAGTGACGTCGAAAGAATCATTAGGTGATGGCTGGTTATTTATTTTTTTCCCTCTACTTTCAAATATTGTTGTTCAAAATTTTTCATCTTTATTTGTTTTTGAGATATCTGTGGTGGACCTGTTAACCCGCGGACCTTCAAGCGCCGTTCTAGCCCAACTTTAAATTATGCAACAAATATTTTATTTTTAAGTTTCTCCACAATAACAACTTTAAAAGATATTATTATTATTAGATTGCAAAAATAACAATTATGGTGAAGGATCTTCAAACGATAGATCAAGTTTATGAAGTCTGCGGCCGGGTTTTTAAGAACGACTGTCCTGCGCTAACCGTGTTCGAAGTGGCCAACTTGCACCGCGGCGCCCTTGTAGGAATGGACTGCATTGCGATTGCTCAAACACCTCCTTTGGGAGCTTCGTAGATGATTTCGGTTAATAATATTATGGCATATAAATATACTCTAACGGTTTATGGATTTTATGATGTTGTAATATGAAGTTTGTGATGATTTTGTAAACACATGTAAAAAAAGTTTAGTGAAACAAGAATATCATAGTGAAGTAATATTTGACTACTGTATTTTTAACTTTCCGTAGGGTAAATTATTGCAATCTTCCAAAAATCGATATTGAAAATTTTTACATTTTTTCACGTTTTAAACGTTTCTGAACATTTTGACATACCTCAGAAAAAATGGATATGGGATTAGTATATATATATATATATATATATATATATAAGTATTACGTAAGCAGATTTATTACAATTATTTACCACCCCATTACCCTTGTCAGCAAAAGTAAGCAAAGCTCTTACCCCCTACCCCCATGCTTACGTAAATACTTTGCAATTAATGTAAAAAAATAAAAATACTATCTATGACGTAATCATCATCCAGACTCCCCTGCCCCCATGTCAACCCAAAATAAGCAAATCAACAACCCCCCGTCCTCCTATAGCGCTTACGTAATACTTGAACGGCCCCTATGTGTGTGTATGTGTGTATGGATACAATTTTTCGTCTACGTTTTCGGGCGCACGGATCAACCGATTTGAATGGTTCAAAAACATTCGCTTTCTATTGATAGGGAGATGTGCTGATTAGTTTTTGCAAAGGAAGGTCCAGCGATTTCGGAGATACAGAGCTAAATGTGCAAAAGTTGCAGATTTTGAGAGAACTATGCGTCCGATTTGCATGATTGAAAGAACTTTGTGCTTGTTTTAACAAAATAATTGCTTTTGGAAAAAAATCGTTTCAAATTTTTGTTTCAATTTTTTTTTTCAAAAAATATTTTTTTTTATACATCGAAAAAAAAATCAGATTTTAATTGTAATTCTGACTCAAGTTCTAATATACTTCAAACAAATATTTCAACTTTGCAATTCAGTTTATATAATTCTTATAAATATTAAAAAAATTTACAGTATTTATTTATAATAATCTATATGAAAACATTTAATATTCCTCGAACATTTTGTTACGCTACGGGAAGTTCCAGCAATTGGCCTTAAGTCACGATGCCATACATATCACTAGTTTTATTTTTGTATAAGGGATTTTTTTGAGGTAAATTGTTACCAAATATGTAATATTTCAAGATAGTATTTTCTTTTGACCAGAAATACTATCACACTGGCAGACTGGCGTATTGCAATTGTTTTTCTGATATAACTATACCCAGCTTAACGCAGGGGTCACTTCTGATAAAATGATATTCTAATTTACCTGACCCTTCATGCGTTTTCAATTTTTAATATTTTGTCAAAATGGCATAAATCATTGGAATATTTTTAATAAGTTGGTCTATGTTTTTGGTTTAGAACTTTGACTTTAGTAGTCAAAGATTTATTTGGAAACACCGTTGCATATATTTGTAGTTTTTTATGTATTTTTGTATTATTTAATTGCATCATCATTGAAAAACTATCAGCTATTTTTTGGACTATTTCTTTGATATCTTGGTTTAGCTAATTCCACTATTTCTTTTACTATTTTAGACATATTTTGAGCACTAAATTAAAACATAGCTAATCAAAGCAGCGGGGTTCTGCTGTAGGAGGGCTCGGGGATTGTTGTAACAGTTTTTTTTAATGGTTTAAAGACGGTCAGTTGCTGCAATTATTTCTCTATCAAATCAACTAAAATTTATTCCACAACTGTTTTTCATTATTTGTCAATTAATCATTTTATGTTTAGTTTAATCAATTTCATTTGATAGTTGTAGTATCTGCAACAAGTAGTAACTTCAATTAAACTAAAATAATACCTCTGATAATTTATTCTTTACTCATTTTTAAGTAAATCGACTTGTTTCTAAGTCATTATTTTCAAACATAAATGCAAACTATAGTTAATACAAAAAATATATTATGCCTGCTCTCATATACATTTTTATCATAATGATGTTATAATGATATTGTGTTTCCTGCAAAACAACTTTCATGTAATTATATCTTGCAAACTATAAATTCCAATCAATAGAATCTTTTATAACTCTTGAATGTTACCATGTTACAAACAAGTTTTGTTTCAACTATCCCCAGATGTGATTTTTTTACATTACCCAATATAACTATTTATACAATTTAGCAATCACAAGATTTTTTTCACACATTCTCAAAGATTGATAAATTTGAAACAATATATAAAATTTATAGTTATATCAAAGTTAATCGATAACAATAATGCCAACCTATATTTTATGTTTTATAAATTTTGTTATCTGTCAAAAATGACGGACTTGCACAGTTCTGTTTCTTGCGTCGACCTGCGAGGCAGTAGCTATGACAATAGTATTGATATTGATATGAAAAACTTCTGTTATTAGTTACCCCTGTTCCAGATAGCCCCTAGCTCACCTATATATAAATGAAAATATCATCATTCTACGTCAAACTGTACAAGTCTGTAAATTTGAAAGAAAATTTGCCATTTTATTAGAACATGCAAATATTTGCAAAATTCTCCAGGATTCTGCGGTAAATTAAACCCCTAAAAATATTTCTTGATTTTGTATTACGATTTGACACTTAGGAAACAAAATGATTAATTATGTCAAACGTAATAAAAAATTAGTTTGTTGAAAAGTAAATTTTATATAATAACAATTTTAATAAATATATCAAATATATCGCAAGTAAATATTTTTAAATTAGGTCTGAATACTAATAGAATATTTTTGTTATCGCCTGCGGTCTACTTTTATAAGATACAATGTGTGAGTGCATGATAAAACGAGTAACAATTTCTACACCTAAAGCTGCTCCAGTCGGTGGTCCATTTTGTCAAGCAACTTTGATAAAAAATACAGTTTTTGTTTCTTCTTGCATTGGCATCGAGGTAGAAACGAATCAATTCAAGCAAGGGAGTATAATTCAACAAATGGAGCAAGCTCTGCATAATCTAAATATGATACTGCAAGAAGCTGGTTCTTGTCTCTCAAAGGTATCATTATAATAGAAATAATTAATTATCATATATGACAGAAGCAGTCATTTTACTCAAAAATACCTATGGGCCGTTTTATAGTAGAGTAGAGCGGAGCACAATGGTCGAATTTAACTTGGAGAATTTCTATTGTGGAAACCAAACCAATTATAATTTAACAAATAATGCATATCAAACAATGTCCAGTAGAACTCCTAGCAATTCATTCTTGTTTTTTACTGTTTTTTAAAGATTTGTAACCATGGGTAGAGTAATTTGGGAAGCCCATGGAGCAAACAAATCTATATCTTATTTTAATTTTTAAAAATTTGTACAAAATATTAGTTGCATCACCAATACAAAATATATTGCATGGCTGCATTTTATGTAGAAATAACACTGTAAATAGCTATATCTGGTATTCCGCCAGAAATATTCATCAACAGAGTTATTCATAGTCATATAATAATTATTTCCACGATTTATGTTTTGTAAATTTGTTTTTTCAATTGAATTTACTATTTTATTTGCAATTTTTTACTTGTTAGAACTTTGCCGGGGAAAAGGTTCAATTGGTCCTTTTTTGCCACACTCTGATGTTAGCTTTTATATGGGTTTTATGAAAAACTATTTAAATGACCACTAAAACTAACAATGTAAGATAATACTTTTGTTATGGATTTTCAAACATTGCCGTTTTTTTCCCCGAAAGCAATATCATTAGATCAATTTTGATAGGTGGTTATTCATCTATTTCCTGTATTTTCTAATATTGTTGTCAAGTTTTTTTTAACTTTACTGATTTTAGAGATATCGTTGATGGACCACTTTATTACTGTAAATCTATAATATTAAATTTGATTTTTGCGCATCAATCTCAGATTAATGGAATTTTTTGACATAATTTTACCCTTAATTATTTTTAATGAAAGCCATTAGAGACAGGAGTTGTTGGGAAATGTGATAAAGCTTTTCATTTTAGCAAAGTACAGTGATCATGTCCCTTTGTCCTAACGTTTCCCAAGGAAAAGTTCGTTTTTGTCAGAAAATACTCTTTGCTAATTTTATATTTTATTAATATTTAACGTCATTCTGATATAATATTCTAAAGCCTAAATATGATTACTACTGATTACTAGAAGTTAAAACCTATATAATGAAACTCCATAGGGACACATTGACTATAAGTGCAAATTTTTTGTCAAAGTTTTCGCCATATATCCGAATGAATTTTGAATGAAAACTTTTGAAAGATATCAGTTGAGTATCACGCTGATTAGTTTCTGGCAGATTTGTATAATTTTGGCGAAAAAATAACAAAACTTTATATTATGAGAATATTGCTTTTTTGGCTATCGAAAGTGAAAAACGCACTTGAAGCAAAACTATGTGTTGGCACAAACAATTGTTATTCAACCATGAATTTTTTTAGGATATGCTAATATTTGCTTTTATTTTAGTACATCTATACATTAATAATTTATTATCTCCAGGTATCTCACACAACGATATTATTGAAATGTGTCGACTATCATTCTGTTATAATGTCTGTTTTCGAACGCACATTTACTATACATCGACCAGCTGTTCGAGTATTTGAAGTCCAGGCTCTGCCGCAAAACGCCCTGGTGGCAGTAGATTGTATTGCATACACATCACAGCTCATGTGTCCCAAAGCCAACTGCGCAGAATTATCCCTGAAACTCGAACAAAAACAAGAAATGAATGATAAGAACAAACCTGGATGCCAAGAAAAAAATTAAAATTATTATTGATTTATTACGTTACTAGTACCATCAATAATTGCATATAAATTGAAACTATATTGTATTTATTTTAACTATTGTTTCTTGATTGCCCTCATAAAGGGTTCATTAAATTCTGTTGATGAGTAATTGTATCCTAGACAATATTAGAATATAATATATGCATTCATATATTGTAATGGTAGATCATTTAAATATTAAAAATGAGATCATCCATCGTCTTTAAAA